AGAAAAAATTGATGTTTCAAATTAAAATATTTCTCTCTTTAAGAGTTCCCCTTTGATGTCACTTCCTGTTTCCCTTTGGCCGAGACAAACCAAAAGAAATTTTTAAGGATATGAATGTCAGTTTAAATTTTGACAAAAATAAAATCTATTATCCATCTATAAAAATCTGAATTAAACTAAACAAGCTCAGATTAAAGAGGAGAATCTGAGTGTTTTTGTTTTTCGGCTCATTAAACCGTTTGTAACTTAGCAGATTGATTAACTTCCACTAAATTAGGTTCCACTAATTTCAAGTCCACTAAAAATCTTCAGAAGTGTAAAATTTCTATTTTCTACTGTTTAACCTGAACTAAATACAAACTATTCTTTAAAAGCAGTGCTGCTCGTGTGTTAGCATGTAGCATCTTTAGCCACAAAACGACAAGTAAAGAGCGTCACAAAGAAATAAAATAACATTTAAAAATTTTTTTACTAAAATATGGTAGAGAAAGTATCCATTAGTTAACTACAAACAGTATTTATGAAAATAAATATGTCTGAGCGTTTAGCTTCTGCTAATTTCTTGTATCTGTTTAGTGTTAGCGCAGCTAGCTTTATGGTTAGCTGTGCCCACCGCAGGTCGTTTGATTAGAAAACAGCAAGTGGATTCATCTGCAAACAACAGAAATACAAATCAAAGATAAATACTGAAATGTTTTATTATTCTTTTAATTCTCTGAAACAAAACAAAGAACATGGGTCAACAACAGCTGCTACAGAAGAACGTCACTGTAAAGATCAGATGGTGGAAACAGAAAAGTTAAGTAAACACACTCAGAATCACTGATAGTGAGAGACAGGAAATGTTAAATATTTTCAAAATACATCCTGAAGGGAGCGGCGCCGCGCTCCTTCGACCCGTATCACTCTCTGGACCCTCACCTCGGCTACATCTTTTATTTATATCTGTGCAAAAGTCTTCATCCACGACGCTACATTTCATCTCCGAGCAGCCAGACTTTCCTGTACCCTGTTATCACATCTGTTAACAGTTTTTCACCTTTTTCTGACGATAAACGTCATGTGTTCAAAGCTAACGAGGGGTCCAATATGAATCTGAAACCCTACAAGAACCCTCCAAAGACCCAAAACCCTTCAATGTCCAGCTAAACGTCTAAAACTGAAGGACAACTCAACCCAAATTTAAAGAAAAATTTAAATATGAGATTTCAGGGAAGTCCAGCTGCTTAGAAAACAAAAGCAGGAAGAGATCCTGACTGGATCAGGAGTTTAGCTGCTAAAGTTCTGCTGCAGTTTTCAAATATTTGTCAGATTCAACACAAACATGCAGCAGACGAGCGACAGGATCGGTGCTTAACTGCAGTAAAAACGAACAGAGCTGTGCAACATTTCGGTGCTTCACGTGAGAAAAGATGGCGGCTCCGTTCGCCACGACGACTCTGATATGTGATAATTCAGCTGCATTCACTTCCTGCTGGGATTATAATAATCTACAGGTGAAAAACATCGACAAGCAGCTAAAACTGTTAAATATGTTCATTCTTAACACCAAAACATACAGAAAATAAAACAAACACAGCATCGATAAAGATATATTTTTACAGCAGCAGAACTAAGAGAAAAAAATTGTTTTTTTAGTAAAATCCACAGCTTCTATCAGAGACAATAAGTCATATTTTCCCTGAGCAGGTCAAACAAATCGTGCTTTCTAACTACGATATCGTGCAGAACTCCCTGCTGTCCCGACGTCATCGCYGCGGTCATTTCTACAAACTAAAGTAAAACAAACACGACGAATCTGACGGGAAATAATTTATAAATATTGAAGGACAGGATTCATAAAGTCTTCATGTGACAGAGATTAGATGTTGGTGAGGTTGGTGCATGCAGAGTGGACATTAACAGTGAGAATATTTAGTTCAGTGCAAACATTAAAGAAATCACCTGGAACCAGTCAGCAGACTGGTTTAGTTTCATATGTTTTATGTAAAACTGAGTCAGTTTTACTGGGATAAATGTTGGTGTGGTATTGACTGAGAGTCGTCCCCAACATAAACTCTGAGGGCTGACAGATTAACAGTGCTGCCTGTTAGTAAAATATCTCATCACCCGGCAGAAAGATTTGAATAAATCTGTAGGAAAGTACAGAACCTGTCTGGAGACGATGGGTAAAAAAAATGTGTGGTCACAAAATCGTTAACATGTCACCATGAGTTAATTAGCTCATAACTACATGTAAAGTAGCTCAAGCTCATTATTATCTCATGGCCACACATTAACTTGTGGCTGTGCATTAACTAGCTTGGTAACTAGGTCATGACAACATATTAATTAGCTCATCAATGAGCTTGTGGCCACACCTTAACTAGCTCATCGCTATGCGTTATCTTGAAGCCGTGCGTTAACTCATGGCGATGTGTTATCATGGCCACATGTTAAATAATTTGTGGCTGTGCATTATTATCTCATGGTCAGGTGTTAGCAACTTTGTGGCCATGTGTTAACTAGGTCATTAACTAGGTCATGACTATGCATTACCTTCCTCATTAACTAGCTTGTTAACCAGTTCATGGCCATGCATTATTATCTCGTGGCCATGTGTTAACTAGATTATACCCACGAGGTAACTAGGTTGTGACCAAGTGTTATTATCTCATGGCCATGTGTTAACTAGCACTTGGCTATGTGTTATCTCATGGCCATGTGGTAATTAGCTTGTGGCTATGCAATATTATCTCGTGACCACACATTAGCTAGTTTGTTAACCAGCTCATTAACATGCACATTAGCTAGGTCATGACAATGCGTTAACTAACTCATGGCTATGCATTAACAAGCTTGTGGCCAGGCATTATCATCTCGTGGTCATGTGTTAACTAGCTTGTACCCACAAATTAACGAGCTTGTGGCCAAGTGTTATTGTAGCGATGCACTAGCTCTTGGTTATGTGTTTATATCTCATGGCCACGTGTTAATTAGCTTGTGGCTATGCAATATTATCTTGTGGACATGCATTAAATAGCTTATTAACTAGCTCATGACCACGCATTAACTACCTAATTAATTAGCCGGTTAACTAGGTCATGACCATGCATCAGCTTGCTCATGATCATACATTATTAAATCGTGGCCATAGGTTAACTAGTTTGTGGCCAAGTGTTACTATTTTTCTGCCATGTGTATCTAGCTCTTAGCTATGTGTTATTATTGTATGGCCATGTGTTAATTAGCTTGTTAATTAGCTCATTAACTAACTCATGGCCACACATTAACTAATTCTTTAACTAGCTCGTAGCCATGTGTTAGCTAGTTCATTTCCATGCTTTAAATAGCTTGTGGCTGCTAACTGGCTAGATTGTGACCACTTGTTAACTAAGTCATAGCCACAAGTTAACTAGGTTGTGGCCAAGTGTTATTATTTTGTAGCCATGTGTAACTAGCTGTTGGCCATGTGTTAATTAGCTTGTTAACTASCTCATTAATTAGCTCGTGGCTACAAATAAACTAGCTTATACCCACAAATTAACGAGCTTGTGGCCAAGTGTTATTGTAGCGATGCACTAGCTCTTGGCTATGTGTTTATATCTCATGGCCACGTGTTAGCTTGTGGCTATGCAATATTATCTTGTGGACATACATTAACTAGCTTATTAACTATCTCATGACCATGCATTAACTACCTAATTAATTAGCCGGTTAACTAGGTCATGACCATGCATCAACTTGCTCATGATCATGCATTGTTAAATCATGGCCACGTGTTAACTAGTTTGTGGCCAAGTGTTACTATTTTTTAGCCATGTGTATCTAGCTCTTGGCTACGTGTTATTATTGTATGGCCATGTGTTAATTAGCTTGTTAATTAGCTCATTAACTAGCTCATGGCCACACATTAACTAATTCTTTAACTAGCTCGTAGCCATGTGTTAGCTAGTTCATTTCCATGCTTTAAATAGCTTGTGGCTGCTAGCTGACTAGCTTGTGACCACTTGTTAACTAAGTCATAGCCACAAGTTAACTAGGTTGTGGCCAAGTGTTTTTATTTTGTAGCCATGTGTTACTAGCTGTTGACCATGTGTTAATTAGCTTGTTAACTAGCTCATTAATTAGCTCATGGCTACAACTTAACTATCTTGTGGCCAAGTGTTATTGTAGCGATGCACTAGCTCTTGGCTATGTGTTTATATCTCATGGCCACGTGTTAATTAGCTTGTGGCTATGCAATATTATCTTGTGGACATGCATTAACTAGCTTATTAACTAGCTCATGACCATGCATTAACTAGCTAATTAATTAGCTGTTTAACTAGGTCATGACCATGCATCAGCTTGCTCATGATCATACATTATTAAATCGTGGCCACGTGTTAACTAGTTTGTAGCCAAGTGTTACTATTTTTTAGCCATGTGTATCTAGCTCTTGGCTACGTGTTATTATTGTATGGCTATGTGTTAATTAGCTTGTTAATTAGCTCATTAACTAGCTCATGGCCACACATTAATTAGCTCGTAGCCATGTGTTAGCTAGTTCATTGCCATGCTTTAAATAGCTTGTGGCTGCTAGCTGACTAGCTTGTGACCACTTGTTAACTAAGTCATAGCCACAAGTTAACTAGGTTGTGGCCAAGTGTTATTATTTTGTAGCCATGTGTAACAAGCTGTTGGCCATGTGTTAACTAGCTCATTAATTAGCTCGTGGCCACAAATTAACTAGCTCGTGGCCACAAATTAACTAGCTCGTGGCCATGCATTAATGTTTTCAACCCTTGGTACCAGACGGGTTCTGTAAGAAAGTAAAACATTAACTTAATCATATTTGGGGTCAACCTCATTGAAGATGGCCACCAACACAAAAATAATTATGGAGCTAAAACTAAAACCCAAATCTGAAAAATTTTGTGTTTTTGTCAATAATGTTTTTAAATTTTTTTAAATAAAGCGAAATATGTTTCATAAATTGATATTTTATTCACATTTCTGTTTGCAGCCAGTGGAACAGTTTTAAAGATATGTGTTGCCAACATTAAAGGTTTTATTTTTAAACTTAAAATGATACAATTAATTAGTTTTAACATTTGATGTGAACACTACGTTCAGCTGGAATTTAAATGAGTTTATGACATTTGCAGTCTATCCAGTTCTGTTTAGCTTTTCAAAATAAAGGTTGTACATTTATTATTACATAACCTTTAAAGTCAGATGGTTTTGCACCAACAATGTTTGATTATTGATGCTAATTGACAAACAAATATTTATTTGGTGTTTTTAATTGACCGATTTAAAATAAATATAAATGTGTTTCTCAAAGTGACAGGTATTATGTACAGGTATTTTTTCTCTCTCATGTTGCTACTGAAACCCGTTCACATGAGGAGAAACGATCCGTTTAATCAGTAAACTCTGGTTCTGTTTGCAGCTCGGATCAAGCTGCAGCAGCTCAAACCCTCAGCTGAAGGTTTTACTTCCTGTTTGGGATTACTTCCTGTTTGGGATTACAGGCGGGTCTGAYGGTGCTGCAGCKGCGCAGCCACATGCACGTTCTGCAGAACTGCAGCAGAACCGGGTTCTGAACATTTAGAGCTTTCGTCCAGGTGCAGGGAAGTACAGTTTGTCGACGCAGAGCTCGGGTCCTGCAGCTCCGCAGACCTCACAGTGTTGGATTTTATTTTACAGCTGGATAATCCCGACCGATCGCTGCGATCCGCCTCCTCGGCTCGACCCGGTCGGCTTCTGGTTCTGTGAAATAAAAAGATGGAGAAAAAAAACACGAGACGTTGACAACTTCCAGATAAAAAGAAGTCCTCCAGGACCAGGACTGAGGACCACTGCTCTGCAGAGACTCATAAAATCAGCCAGATGAAAAATAAACAGATTATATCAAATTATAAAACAAACACTGGATTATTTATGAGTCTTAATGGGAATTTTGGTTCGTTTTTTAGAGCAAAGTTTTATTTACCAACCTTAAAACACACATTTATTTATCCTGAATGTCAGCGTTAATGCAGCGCAGTCAGAAAATCTGAGTTTAGTTTGCTTTCTGCTCAGCGGGATGGAAACTTAATGGTGATGGATTCTAAAAGCAGAGYGGAGTTTTTAAGGCAAAAAGCACTTTTACTTTTTCTTCAGAGTGTAAAAAGTTTAACGATTGCCTCTGGATGTGTGTTTACTCAGGCAGAAAGGGAGAAAACTAACTGTGAAGTTCTTACAGTTTGCCAGTTGAAGCCTGGTCTGTTCCTGCTGTTGACCCGCTGTGGTTCTGGGTTTGGATTTCATGTGGGTCAACTTCTTTGGTTCCATTTCTTCTGGGAAAAAAAAAGAGCACAAAATAAACATATTTTAAGAGTTTTCAGGAAATGGATCGATCTAACAGACGTTGGTCATAAACTGTTTGTCTTCTGACAGCAGAACTCCTGAGCCCAAAGCCGGGCCACCAGTATGTGGGCCAGAACTGGTTCAGATATGTGGGCCAGAACTGGTTCAGATATGTGGGCCAGAACTGGTTCAGATATGTGGGCCAGAACTGGTTCAGATATGTGGGCCAGAACTGGTTCAGATATGTGGGCCAGAACTGGTTCAGAATCCAAACTAAGGAAGTAGAAGCGTCACCAGATGAATCAAGTTCATCAGCGAGGACGTTAACAACAAGTTGTCTGTTCTGGACTGTGTGTTGGACACGGAAGAAGACGGATGACTCTCGTCCCCTTTAGGACAGAAGAGAAAAGTACCTAAAATCGAGATTTTCCAACTCTTAATCCGCTAAYTAAAAATATAACTTCACTAATGCCAAACAAGTAAAAATGTCTGGAAGCTAAAGCTAACTGCTAGCCGCTAAGACAACTCTCACTCAGTTAGCTTGTTACTTAGCTGTTAGCACGTAAAGTTGGCAAAACACCASTGATTTTTCATTTGTGTTAAAGTAGCAGTGGTGGGCACAGATAACCAAAACTTTTGCTTTACTAACTCATAATCCTCTAATTAAAAATATAAAGCAGCAATTAGCTGAAGCTAATTGGTCCGCTAACGGTTTTTAAAGTCAGTGAAAAAACTAATCTGCTGTTCCACCGTTAGCCTTTAGCTGTTTAGCTAACCCCTGCTCACCAGTGTTAAGGACTAAGGACACTCTGCTGAGGACAAAAATGTTTGGACAGAGACAGATGGTTTGACATGGGGGTGAAAGGAGACATTTCATTGGCTTGGGGACCTCTTACCGTACCTTTCGGGGTTCTGTGCACCCTGCTGTGGGTGTCACGTGCACCGGCAGAGCTCATGGCCGGTTCAGAGGAGGGTTGGAGGGGCTGGAGGAAGGCCACGGTGGGGAAAGGCACAGATGGGATGTGGGTCACGGCGGAGTCCGACAGGGAGCTCAGCACCCCGCCGTGACTGCCGGAGGAGGGGACTCTCCATCGAGGTAAGGGGGAAGGAGACGCATCTCCGCCGGAGGAACCGGGGATGCTGCGGGGCCTGAGGGACTGCTCTGGGGTCGAGGAGGACTTGGGGAGGAGGTGCAGGATGGAGGAGAAGAAGGAACAGGATTCTGGGAGAGGGATGGTCCCAATTCCACTGTCCAACGTTCGCATCGTGCAGCCGAGGCCTGCGGCACAAGGAGAACAGCTGAAGTGGAYTGGAGAGGAGGAGGAGGAGGAGGAGCAGGAGAGATGGAGGAAGAAAGCAGAGGGCAGCCATGGTGGTAGCTACTTTTAAAATATCTGTACTGTAGTATTAATTRGTTCGTTACTATTCCTTAATTGGCTTCATTTCACCAATTTTTMAGAAATATTTCACTAAAAATGAAGCACGGATCAGTTCCACGGATGAGTTGATGAGTTTAGCATGCATCGATGGGTTTGAAATGTTAAACTGTGTGACATAAGCTCTAAATAAACCTCACTGATTAGACCACTGTGCAAAAGTCTTCATCCAGCTTTAGCTTCTCTAGTTTTCTTTCCAAGCTCTACAAAAGCAGCTGTATATGGACAGATTCATCATTAAAAGCTTGTTTTACATGTAAAATAAAAATGTAGCTTTTTCTAACTCAGTCCATCAGTAAAAATACAGCTTTGTTAACGCTACACTGCTAAACATGTTGTTAGCGGAAACTAATGCTATACAAGTGAAATTCATAGAAGCTAACACTAAGTAATGTCCTGATGCATCTCAGTAATCCAGGTAAAAACAGAGCAATGTTGTATATGCTGTTAAGTGCCAGGAGGACTGCGACCAGTTATACATCGGGGAAACAAAGCAACCAC